GTCTAGTTTATCGTAAAACCTTCTACCCCTGACGTATCCCAAATCAATCAAAATATAAGAAAAGTCTTTATACAGACTATATTACATATTAGATTATATAATATATAGATTTAGCCAGGGCTAAAAGCGAAACTCTCGTTAACATCTATAATTTACTCAAACAAAATAGGAAATCGTGTAATGCTAAGCGGCGACGGCAACAAAAACAGCCGAAAAAAAAAATCAGTAGGTCTTATTAGCAAAAACACAACTTTGCACGCGCAGCACACTTTTTATGTACATTTCTTTGCCGTTGTTTTGCACGACTATAACGAGAAACTTCCAGGAACTTCCTAAATGACCACTCCAGAAAATACCACAACATACCATAATTCTCTTTGTTTGTCACCCTAAATTTTGCGTAAGCATCGTTTTCAGTTTCTCTTGGGGCAATTTTAACTCCCAAGAGAAACTTAAGACAATGCTTATGCAAAATTTTGGAGTGACAAACAAAGAGCATTATGGTATGTTATGGTATTTCTGGAGTGATCAATTACACGTTTTATAGAGGAAATGTTGTATGTGTTCCTGTTCACGTTTACTTTTTTTCACTGCCGCTCATTTTCACCTTGCTGGCCGCTAGCATTTCTCATTTTCTCACCGCCGCTATAAAACTTTCATGTTTTTCTTCCAACAAAATTAATCTCTTTTGTTTTTTTATATCTCTCTCTGTTTTCCACGTCAATGTAGACATTAAGACATTATTGTGAAAACACAGGTGAAATTCTGAAAATGTTATGTGCAAGACGTCATTTTGTGAAAGTTGTGGCGTTTATTTTTTTCCATAAGATCAGTTCCTACCACACAGTCGACTGCAAACCGCGTATAGCGGTTTTTTCTTAATAAAAATACGTGACCGGCACATCAGAGAAATGTCGGAGCCTCGGGAGGGTGGAGGGGTTGGGTACTTCCTTGTGAAAAGCAGTTATGCTTGTGGAAAAATTAGAATTAGACTAATCTGGGCGTGACTCAGTCTCTATTGACACCTAAGAAACACCATACGAAGGGAAGGAAGGGGAAGTGGGTACTTTCAAGTGAAGGAGGCAGTTGTGCTTGTCGAAAAATTAGAATTAGTCGTTCAGGCTCTATTTGACCCCTTAGGCACACCATGCGAACCCCAGAAGGGGGAGGGGTAGTTTCAAGTAAAGGAGGGCAGATATGCTTGTCGAAAAATATTGGCTTGCCATCCTGAACACGTAAGTGACACCAAAATCTGCACTTAACACCCCCTCCTTTCGTTTAGGACTCCCTCGGGTAGTGAACCCATGTTCACATCCCACCCGTTCCATTTTATCGTGTGTTCAATACCTCCCCCCCCCCCCACCCCATCGCCCGTTAAATTGCGCTCCAACTTTCTTGACTTATTTTTAACCCTTTCTGGTAACTTTCAAGTAAACTTTTATTTTTATTTACTTTTCTAATTTTAGGTTATCCAATGGGACCAATGGAACTGGCAGATTATGTAGGACTCGACACGACAAAGTTTATTATTGACGGTACGTTTTGTAGTCACGTCCAAAGTAAGACGAAAGTGCTTCTCCGCTCTTCGCATTCTATTTAAGTTGTGTCATGTTGTTGCCTTGCAAAGCTTATGATTTGTAAGTAAGCTCAACGTCGCTTCTTTTTTGGTTCAAGTTTTCTCAGTAGACAGATGCGCAAGTAGTTACTCGTATTTGCCAGCGCAGATAATACGAAATTTTCTATGAAACCATCGAATTTTCCTTGACTTAATTGTACTGGCAAACACCGTCCTTGAAGAATTTTTTCCTCAGGACAAAACAACTCTCCCATGTTCAAAAAGAATAAGGAGACTTTTCCCACATTTTTCCGTCTATAATGCCTTTGGAAAACTAGCCTCCGATCAGGCTCACTTGTGAGAGTTCGGGGATGTAGGGACCTTACGAAACCACGACGACAACGGCAACGGGAACGTCAAACACAACTGCGAGGTGAAATGTCCAAATTTTAAATTTACTTGGGAACGGCAAGGCGATAAATTCTACCATCTCTGTTCGAACTTGAACGCGTTCCCCTCTCTTCAGCTCCAGCCAAAATCCTCTTCTTTTAAGTAACAGGGCGAATTGGGATAATCGCGAAAACGTTTAAAAGGATGCGAAGTCTGTTTTTCAGCGACGTTTTCATGGACGTCGCCGTTGTCGGATGGGAAGGTTCCTAATGTTTGGCGGCGGCGCCTTTTACACGCGCCGGCGTAGCAAGCGAAAAGAATGGAGCGAGGAAAAGCGAATTGCTAAATGTTTTTAGGCCTTACACGTTTGGCCAAAAAACAGCAAACATCCCGCCGTAAAATTTTGCTTTCTCGCTTTTTAACTCTTTTCTTCCCTATTTATTTCACACTTTCTCTCTCTGCTCATAATTTTTAGGAAGGTTGTCTACACCTGCATTTTCCAAATTCTATGCCATAAATTACAAACCTTTGGATATCGTCTTCATTTTCTCGTCGTTTTTATATTTCAGGTTGGCATGAAAAACACCCAGATGTGCCGCTTTTTGAGCCGAGCGAAATTCTTAACGACCTTGTCGCTCGAAACAAGTTGGGCAGGAAGACTGGAGAAGGATTCTACAAGTATGACTAGAACTCAGGCTACAACAAAGTGAACAACACGGTTGATCTCTCAGGATCACAAGCGAGTGGATCCTTTAAGCAAAGCCAAGAGTTTCGTCAACTTGAATGACTAAAAGTTTGTTTTTAAATTTCCTCTTCCAAAATGAACGCTGAGAGGAAGGTTTTACAGTGTTCAACTTTGCTTATTTTAAGTTATAAATATTTGCAATTTCTCCCACCATTGCCTTCAAAGTTGTATTGAAACCCTTCTTACTTCAGTGATTCATTAAAGAGGCTTGAACTCTGATCTTTCAACAAGTTACTGTCGCCTGTACCTTATTACATACAGCTATTTCGAGAAACGTTGTCGGAAAGAATGTGCACGTGACAACCCCAAAAGGTAATATGGGATATGATCAATACATTGTTTCTGACACTTAAGCTGTCGAAGCTACTTTTGTTGCTTTCCTTTAGCACTCGCAAACATACGTCCATGGCCTCTCGTGCCATTCTTTCAAATTTCTTTGAAAAACAGTGAATACAAAACCACGCACAATACCTTTCGGGATTGTGGCGAGCAGTTTTTCCGACAACCTCTCTCGAAATAGCTGTATTCACCATTTTCACATAGACCATAATGCACCTTGTTTACCCTTAAAAATTTTGCAAAACGATTGTTTCCAATCTCTCCTGGGTATTACAATCGTCCCAAGAGAAATCGAAGACAATGGTTATGCAAAATTTTGGGGGGTAATCAAAGTGCATTATGGCCTATGTGAAAATAGTGAATACGGGTGAACGTTCAACCCTTAAAAGGTCTTAGAAGTGGCTCGAATTAGTTCCCACCCTGTGTAAGAGAGACTTTGAGGGCGGGACGGCAAAGGAGTGTGCAAAAAGGCATGATGCACGTGCAAAGTTGTTTTTTTGCCAATCTAGACCGATGGCTTTTTTGCCGTTCTCGTTGACGTCGACGTCGTCGTTGCTTAAGCTCCCTGATGGCCAATTTGTTTTTCCTGTCCCCAGTGACAGTACCAGAAGTCTTTACGACAGCTTACTCGGTCCAGTTTCCTGGTCGTAAGGCTCGGGTTCGATTCCAAGTTATGAATTAAAGAAGAAGGCGAATTCAAACACCAGAAAGCTCCGAAAATTTTTCCGAGCTCCAGGTGAGAATCGAACTCACGACCCCCGAGTTCTAGTTCGGACGCTCTAACCACTGAATTTCTTTTTTAGTTGAAACACTTTCAATAACCGTTCAAAAATGTTTTGAGCATGTAAACAATTTCTTCTTTTAAAGCCAAAGTGGCAGAGAAGCTAGCCTGTGTGTTACGTTAAGCCGTTGACCTTGTATCCTTCGTCCTTACACATCATGATCACGATTGCTAATCCCAGGAGAAGTTGAAATCAAAGCTTATGTAAAATTTTGTGATGAAACAAATTGCATTTTTGGGAATGTGAAAGTCGCAAATGAAAGTTTTCACGTTTCACTTGCGTTTCACAGCCCCACCAAAGTAGCGCAATTAAGTTTAACTTGGTCTTTGAAAGATCTCCTTTCTTGAAGTTGTTAACGATGGTACTAAAAAGAACTTCTTCAGCCTGGCAAACGAAACCGGGGGCGCGATGCGTGTTCGAGCGGAGGCCCACACCTAAGAAAGTTTGGTAATCTATGCATTCGAGAAATTTTGGTAATCACTTGACCGTACGTCCGACCGTCAGTCCGTCCGCACCCCAGGTATACCAAAATGGTGTTTTTGGCGGTAAATCGCATGACCACCCACACTTTGAGATAAAAAAAAACAACAATTTTTCGACGTTATTTTTTATGTCTAGGCTCATCACGTGGATAACAGAGGTAGACCTAGAAAGAGTGATTAAAAGCAAAGGAGACTAATTTCGTTGGAAGAAAAAAATGAAAATTTCACAACGGCGACGAGAAAATGAGTAATGCTAGCGACCAGTAAGGTGAAAATTAGTGGCAGTGAAAAAAACAAAAGCGAACAGGAACACAAGCAACAATTTTTTGGTGAGCACATACGACCATTCCTCCATAAAAAAAATAATGTGTAACCAGGAAGTTTCACTTTTTTTAATCGTGCAAAACAAAGGCAAAGAAATGTTCAAAGGAGTGTGCTGCACGTGCAAATTTGTTTGTTTGGTTGTTGTTGTTTTTTTTTTGCTAATTATTGATTTGTTGCCGTTCTCATTGCCGTCGACGTGTAGTATTACACGATTTTATTTTATTATTATTTTTTTGTTTATAAGTATCTAAGCTTATCTAGTCAACGAAAGCTTCGCTTTTAGCCCTGGCTCATGAATCTGTATTCTAGGTTTCGGATAGGTGCGTGCCGCCCAGGGTCTTAACGAAACTGTGGGACCCGTTTATGTTCTCTTGATGAAACCCCGTTCCTATTCAAGGATGAGAAAAACGAAAATTGATCCTTTATTCAAGTCCGAAACCCGAGAAATGACTCTCAATCTCAATCTCAATCTCAATCTATTTAAAAGAAGCTTTGTCATAAGATATACAAGTACAAAAAGGAGAGAAGAATTCAAAACAGCGTTGCGTAGCACTGATTGGCATTTAAGTCGTTAACGAAGCTGAAGATGCAGATACAGCTTACGAAGTATTGAAAGAAAAATACAAAGGAATTTTCGACACCAGTTTTCTCTTTAAAAATGTAAAAGGCAAGGAGTTGACTAATAAAATCACAAAGCCTTGGATTTCTAGGGCCCAGTTTATAAAATACGTTCCATTTTCTTTTCATGTTTGTTCTGCAGACAGGAGGATTGTATGACTCGGCATATCTAGTAGAATGATTATGGATTTTTACTTCCAGTTTGAAATAAAGTTTTGAAAAGAGAGAGGTAAACTATAAATTTCAAAAATGTCGAGTTTTTGAAAAGGGGGTTTGCTAGAGACCCTGTAATCTGCAGCACAGTTTGTCCGAACAGTTCGTGTCTGTAACACTGGAATCTATAAAGGTTCGTTCGATAAGAAATAGGGAAATTTCTTGGGGAAAATAAATCAGGACAAGTCAATGCATAAAGCGATAATAGTAAAGATATATTTAATTAATTTTAAACTCCTTTCCAGTCGAATATCGTCGACTCTGATCTTAGGCCCTGTTCAACAAGGAGGGAGCATAGGCGTACGGGCCGGGGGGCGAGGGGGGCTGCAGCCCCCCCAAAGTTTGGGCAACTCAGATTTTTTGGGCAGCAAGAGAAAATTTGGGCAAAGCCAGTTTTCAAAGACGTTTCCATGTTTTTTATTTTTAATATTATTTTGAAGAGATAAATATTTCCTATTTTAACCAGAAGTCGGAGTAATAATTTAGTTACGTTCACACGAGACAGTGGTTGCCTAGCACGTGATGAGTTTCTGGTTATAAGGGAAGGGTATCATATGCTGATTTTTTTTTATTGTTGGGCACTGTACTTCACTGCACTAGCTAGAATAGGCTATTGCCAGTCGTGAATTGATTAGAATAAACTTCCGCATAACTTTCTAGAATCACCTCCGCTCCTAGAACAATGTGTGGCAGAACACGCATCAGCAATGGGTCTGAAAGTGAAGAAGTGGCTGACTAATTCTCAGTTTGAATTACGAGAAGAATCATAATTTTTTTTAAAAAATCTACGGAGTGGTTTAAAAATTATTCATTAATTTGTTTAAGTAGACCGAAATGTTTACAAAACCCCTAACAAGATCGAGTGCTTATCAAATCCTTCTTTATAGCAATTGGCAGGAGCTATCTGCATGATCTTTCACACACGTTTTTAAAAAGATTGAAACTACTATGAGGTGAAATTGCATGTTAAAAGCGTTTCGTTTTCTTCAGATTGCGACTAAACATCAAAATTTTCCTTTTTTACCTTATTTCTAACAATAAAAACTTCATCCCAAAATATCTCGATTACGCTCTTACAGTTCCGTTTTAACTTCACGAACATCGAGGCGACTATTGGAGGAAAGAGCTCCCCTGAACGATTTTGTAAGAACAGTTCAATGTGAGAAATATTGCTGCAAATAGAATAAGGTAATGGCGTCATTTCGTTGCTATGACAGCTCCCATGTCATTGCAACCCTGATCATGACAAATTTCCCTCTTTATCTAATACAACTGTGGTGGCAATTTTTTCCAAATGCTTGTTTGTGGCGACGAAGTTTATGCTCAAACTTGGCAGGTATTGACTCTGAAAAACTGTATCGAGCCACTTTGATATGCCAGTACGGCCTATTTTGTTGCATGGCCCTAGTTTCCCTTCGACTGTTTTGTAAAAATTTGGGCAACTTGCCAGAATTTTTTGGGCAAATGGATTACCGCCCCCCCTGGCAAAAAATTGCCCGTACGCCTATGGGAGGGAGGGTAACCCTGGTGCTACGGTTACCCTAGCAAGAAGGTTACCCTAGCACTCGCATATTTCTTCTTTTTTCACACGACGTATTTACTAGGTTAGGATATACAAGCAAGAGGGTTACCCTACCTGCCTTGTATACGTTCAGCTAGGGATAACTCGCCTACCCTAGCCTGTGAACATTCCTCTCCCCTAGTTCCCCGCTCGACCAAAGGCCTGTTCACAGGCTACGCCTACCCGGGTCAACTTTCCGCTGTCATGCGTGACCAGTAATCGTATCAATTTTGAACGGTATTATCCGATTTCTGAGCCGACTATAAACATTTGAAAAATAAAAAGTAGTCTGTCTACAATGATAATATTTTCCCATTTTTTTGTGTATTTGACGTGTTTTCTATAGTGAATTTCAAGATTATTTCAAAATTTGGACCGTTACAAAGAATGTCACGCATGACGAAACGCGTCAGCAAAGGTGGCAAAGTTGTCCCGGCTGATAGGGTAACCCTGCCTGTGAAATTTGATTGTAAACACTAGCAACCTTTAACCCGCTTGCTGGCGTAACCCTAGCACAAGGGTAACCCTATCTCCTTGTAAACAGGCCTTAGTCTAGCTCCGATCGATCCGATTTTGTCGATTTTGTCCATGCTGTTGACACACGCTATGACTGGGCTGCCTGTG